TGGCAAGGCCTTGAAATTCTTTATGTGCAGAGAAGTATATAAAATGAAATAACTCAGTAAGTGTTCAGAGGTTTAATCATGTGTGGTTTCTACATCAGGAAATATCTAAATTTTTATTTTGTAAGAACTCCATTAGTATAGAAAAAACAAAAACCTGAACTGTATATGACTACAGAATTTAAGGAGTATACAGCGTTGTAACTATTACTAAGAAAACTGATCTGTTAAGACTAGCATTTTGGTATTTCTACCACACTCATGACTTTGTAGCTATTTCCTTGAATGTCTTTCCATGTCTGATAATTCAGTGGGAATTAACAGAATGTTCCAGAGACTAGGATGATTTGGCAAGCAAGAGTGACAGAGAGGAATCAGAAACTTGTTCTCCTAATTGTCAGCTTCGTAGGTATTCTAGGTTATGTTGCCACAAGGCAAGCCATGTCATTGTCTTTCCCAGTTTGGAAAGAGGTTGTATGGAAGTCTGAAGGCAAAAGACACCTATTATTTTAAGAAACGCCAACTCGGATCATTAATGACACAGTGTTTTTATGTGTTCCTTATGGATTCAGGTTGTCTTCAGTTTCTTCAAATAATCATCACTTTTCTAAGTTTGTTAAGAGCAACCAAATCATTGAATGTTAAAGAGAAAAGGGACCTTTATATATTATCTTTCCTATCATCTTAGGGGAGAAACCAAGGTTCAAAGAGATATGTCCTGAGTCTACTGGTAGTTGGTGGAAGTCTCTCTAGTTATAGGTCAGTGTTACTTACAGTACATGGCATTGCCTCAGTTAAGTAATATTTTTATTTTTTTCCGGAGACAGGTGCTCTTATATCCCACGTTGGCCTTGAACTATTGATCTTCCTGCTTCCATCACCAAAATGCTGGGATTGCAGGTCTGTACCACCATTCCTATTTTTTTTTAATGTGGTACTGGGGATCAAATGCAGGACTTCCTGCTTGCTAGACAAACACTACCAACTGAGCTACAATTCCAGTCCCTGATCAGTATTTTAATTTGTGGCATATGACCCACAGTCTTGGTCACAACCTTTGTGGGGGATATTTATGTGCCATTTTATCCCTTTATTTTTATCCTCCACTAATTTTTTTTTTTTTTTTTTTTTTTTTGAGACAGGGTCTCTCTGTAGCCCCAGCTGTCCTGGAACTCACTATGTAGACCAGGCTGGCCTTGAACTCACAGAGATCCACCTGCCTCTGCCTCCCGAGTGCTGGGATCAAAGGCGTGTGCCACCACGCCTGGCTTTATCCTCTACTAATTTAATATACATTGATTTTGCTGCCTGATATTTTAGGGGTAAGAACAGTCAGAAAACAAACACAGAAGCAAAAACAGTAGTGGCAAGTATGATTTTTTTTTAAGGTTTTTTTTTTTTTAAATTTTTATTTTCTTTTAAGGGAGATTGAGTAAAGGCTGACTGGAAATTAGAATGGTTGCAATAAATTTTTCATGGAGATGACCAATAAAGTGATATGGGAATGATGTGGGGGGAAGGGAAGAAGCCACCTCTTTCTGTGAAAGCCTGTTCTTCCTCTCTAATTGGGTCCTCGTTCCTCTTTGTTTTATTTTTCCTTCTCTTATTACTGTTGATTGAATTTAGGTCTTTGCACATCTTAAGCAAGTGCTCTTTTACTGAGTTATAGTCTAAGCCCTCTTTTTACTTTTTATTTTGAAAGATGGTCTAAGTCGCCTAGGTTGCCTTGTAGGTAAGACATGTCTTGAACTTGTGAACCTTCTACCTCAACTTCTCAAAGTAGTTGGGATGACAGACCTGCACCGACAGGCCTGCACCACCAGGTCTGCCTGGTTTATCGCATTCCCGTTAGAACCCTCAGTTTAGGTGTCAAGTGTTAACCTCATTCTTTTTCTCAGAAAGAAAGAGAGGCACAGAGAAGTTCCACTCCCTGCTCCACAGCAACACAGGAAACAAACTGACTAAAGAGTAAAACTAGGTCCAATCCAGGGTCGCCTGACTACAGAGCCTTTTGCCTCAGCTGTGTGTGTGTTTGTGTGTGTGTGTCTGTGTGGTGAAGCAATGAAACTAGTGATAACTGCAGGTCACATTGAACTAATAAAGGTTCCAATGATCATTAACATAGTGTTCACACAAGCCGTCTCTGAGCAGATTGAGCACATGAATAGTTCTGCCATGGAGACTTTATACTCCTTATTAAGGAAACAGAAGAGGAAGAAAGGAACTAAGACATATACTAGGATTTCCTTTGCTTTAATGTGTTTCCTGAAAAATAATGAAAAGGCTCAATTAAGTTTATTTTGCTATATATCAGACTTGATGTGGGTGGATGGGTTGGTGTGTGATTGTATGAAATCAAACCTGACCCTAGTGTATGTGTGTCTTTTGGGTTCAATAACTTTGTAATTAATAATTATTGTTTCTAAACACTAAATGGAAGTTTAAATCTGCATTCCTTCCCCACCCCCCCTTAGCAGTTGAATGCCATATATGTGTGTTCCTTAAGAAATCCATGAAAAAGTTATTCTTCATATAGAAGCTAATTGCATTCTATGGAGAACCAGCAACCACTCATTTTTACATATAGGTTATCCTCAATGAATCTCTGGTGACTGGTCTTGAGATTCCAGTTTTAGCATTTGCCTCTTAGTACCATTTAGAAGGAGAAAATGTCCAGTTCTGATCCATAACGCTCTGTAACATAAAGTGCTGACAACTTACAAATGATCACTATATTCTAATAGATTAATGCTCATTTGCAATTGGTTCATTACAAATTTTGGTAAAGCTGGTGTTCCCCCTTCCAGAATTGAATTGCCGGTGTTTAAAACTGTCATTCGAATTCTCAACTCCTTCAAACCTGTTACTGCAAAAAGAACTATTTTGTCATTCAGTCTAAAAATAAAACCTTTCACCCAAATTATATGCCTTAATAGCCTCGTTTTAAATCTACCTGACTTTAATGTGAAAAAAAATCCATTTCTGCTTGATCGGGACCAGCTGGAACTGGGGCAGCAGTTTGAAGGAGGTGACTAGCCCCCCTCCTCCCTGCAAACCTTGAGGATTTCGGGGCTCCAGAGGTGGGTGGAGGGGCATCATCCCGGTCGGCCTGCTGGCTCCGGCCAGAGCCCCAAGAGTTAACCCGCAGCGAGCCCCCCACGCTGGGCTCCCGCCCCGTTGTCCCCACCCTCTCCTTTTGGCTGGGATTAAAGTGCTCCCCCCTGTGGCAGCAGTGACCCAGAAATGAGTTGGCGTTCCCGAGCTTCCTCCATAGCCAGCTGCACGCCGGTCCGAGAGGGCCTCGGCGCGCCGGCGACAGCAGGCGCCCGCCCGGCTCCCCGCGCGGCCTCAGCGGCCCGGACCCATGCGGTGCAGCACACAGCCCGGCGCGGAGGCCCAGCCAGTGCGCAGCAGGTACACG